AGGACTAAACCAACTAACCAGGACTAAACCAGGACCGAAACCAGGACCGAACCAGTACCAACCAGGACTAAACCAGGACCAAACCAGGACTGAACCAGGACCAACTAAACCAGGACTAAACCAGGACCAAACCAGGACCGAACCAGGACCGGAACCAGGACTTAAACCAGGACTAAACCAGGACTAAACCAGGACTAAACCAGAAACCAGGACCGAACCAGGACTAAACCAGGACTAAACCAGGACCGGAACCAGGACTAAACCAGGACTAAACCAGGACCGGACTAACCAGGACTAAACCAGGACTAAACAAACCAGGACCGAACCAGAGGACTAAACCAGGACTAAACCAGGACTGAAAACCAGGACTGGAACCAGAACTAAACCAGGACTAAACCAGGACCGAACCAGGACCGAACCAGGACTAAACCAGGACTAAACCAGGACCGAAACCAGGACTAAACCAGGACTAAACCAGGACGGAACCAGGACGGAACCAGGACTAAACCAGGACTAAACCAGGACTGAACCAGGACCGAACCAGGACTAAACCAGGACTAAACCAGAAACCAGGACTAAACCAGGACTAAACCAGGACTAAACCAGGACTGGAAACCAGGACCGAACCAGGACTAAACCAGGACTAAACCAGGACTAAACCAGGACCCAGGACTAAACCAGGACTAAACCAGGACTAAACCAGGACTAACCAGGACTAACCAGGACTAAACCAGGTCTAAACCAGGACTAAACCAGGTCTAAACCAGGACTCTAAACCAGGACTAAACCAGGTCTAAACCAGGACTAAACCAGGTTAAACCAGGACTAAACCAGGACTAAACCAGGTCTAAAACCAGGACTAAACCAGGTCTAAACCAGGTCTAAACCAGGACTAAACCAGGTCTAAACCAGGACTAAACCAGGACTAAACCAGGACTAACCAGGAAACCAGGACTAAACCAGGACTAAACCAGGACCGAACCAGGACTAAACCAGGACTAAACCAGGACGAACCAGGACTAAAACCAGGACTAAACCAGGACCGAACCAGGACTAAACCAGGACTAAACCAGGACCGAACCAGGACTAAACCAGGACTAAACCAGGACCGAACCAGGACTAAACCAGGACTAAACCAGGACTAAACCAGGACCGAACCAGGACTAAACCAGGACTAAACCAGGACCGAACCAAGTCTAAACCAGGACTAAACCAGGACCGAACCAGGACTAAACCAGGACGGAACCAAGTCTAAACCAGGACTAAACCAGGACCGAACCAGGACTAAACCAGGACTAAACCAGGACCGAACCAAGTCTAAACCAGGACTAAACCAGGACCGAACCAGGACTAAACCAGGACTAAACCAGGACCGAACCAGGATTAAACCAGGACTAAACCAGGACTAAACCAGGACCGAACCAGGACTAAACCAGGACTAAACCATGACTAAACCAAGACTGAACCAGGTCTAAACCAGGATAAAACCAAGACTAAACCAGGATTAAACCAGGACTAAAGCAGGACTGAACCAAGTGTAAACCAGGATTGAACCAAGACTAAACCTGGACTAAATCAGATCTAAACCAGGTCTAATCCAGGTACATTTTGTGTGTTTTGTATCGAGTGAGTCTGATTTCATTTCATTTCTTCAGTGTGAAAGAAACAAACACGGCTCGAGGTTTGTGATGAGGAAACAACGTTACAATTATGGTTTAGTCCAAGTCTGGTCCTTATTTCCTCCACACTGAGCTCTGGATCAGACGTGGTTCAGTCCAGATTATGTTAGTCCTTGTTTAGTCCTGATTTAATCCTGATATAATCCTCGTTTAGTCCTGGATAAATCACGTTACATAAACAGACTCACTTTTATCACACAGCAGCTCGTGTGACCAGACTGAAATATTACTCACACAAACAAGTGAGGGTTAGACCTGGTTTAGTCCTGGTTTAGTCCTGGCCTAAACCACAACTAAATAAGAATAAAAGCAGGCTAAACCACAACTAAACCAGGACTAAACCAGGTCTAAACCAGAACTAAACCAGGACTAAACCAGAACTAAACCAGGACTAAACCAGGTCTAAACCAGAACTAAACCAGGACTAAACCAGGTCTAAACCAGAACTAAACCAGGACTAAACCAGAACTAAACCAGGACTAAACCAGGACCAGGACTAAACCAGGTCTAAACCAGGACTAAGTCAGTACTAAACCAGGTCTAAATCAGGTGTAAACCGGATCTAGACCAGGTCTAAACCAGGTCTAAACCAGGACTGAACCAGGACTAAACCAGGTCTAAACCAGGTCTAAACCAGGACTAAACCAGGTCTAAACCAGGACTAAACCAGGTCTAAACCAGGTCTAAACCAAGGACTAAACCAGGTCTAAACCAGGACTAAACCAGGTCTAAACCAGGTCTAAACCAGGACTAAACCAGGTCTAAACCTGGCTTAACCAAACCGGTCTAAACCAGGTCTAAAACCAGGACTAAACCAGGTCTAAACCAGGACTAAACCAGGTCTAAACCAGGTCTAAACCAGGACTAAACCAGGTCTAAACCAGGACTAAACCAGGTCTAAACAGGATAAACCAAGACTAAACCAGGTCTAAACCAGGACTAAACCAGGTCTAAACCAGGACTAAACCAGGTCTAAACCCAGGTCTAAACCAGGTCTAAACCAGGTAAACCAGGTCTAAACCAGGACTAAACTAAACCAGGTCTAAACCAGGTAAACCAGGACTAAACCAGGTCTAAACCTGGACTAAACTAGGTCTAAACTAGATCTAAACCAGGTCTAAACCAGAACCAAACCAGGACTAAGTCAGTAATAAACCAGGTCTAAACCAGGTGTAAACCGGATCTAGACCAGGTCTAAACCAGGACTAAACCAGGACTCACCCAGGACTAAACCAGGTCTAAACCAGGACTAAGTCAGTACTAAACCAGGTCTAAATCAGGTGTAAACCGGATCTAGACCAGGTCTAAACCAGGACTAAACCAGGTCTAAACCAGGACTAAGCCAGGTCTAAACCAGGTCTAAACCAGGACTAAACCAGGTCTAAACCAGGTCTAAACCAGGTCTAAACCAGGACTAAACAAACCAGGTCTAAACCAGGTCTAAACCAGGTCTAAACCAGGACTAAACCAGGTCTAAACCAGGTCTAAACCAGGTCTAAACCAGGACTAAACCAGGTCTAAACCAGGTCTAAACCAGGTCTAAACCAGGTCTAAACCAGGTCTAAACCAGGACTAAACCAGGTCTAAACCTGGACTAAACCAGGTCTAAACCAGGTCTAAACCAGGACTAAACCAGGTCTAAACCTGGACTAAACCAGGTCTAAACCAGGTCTAAACCAGGTCTAAACCAGAACCAAACCAGGACTAAGTCAGTAATAAACCAGGTCTAACCCAGGTGTAAACCGGATCTAGACCAGGTCTAAACCAGGACTAAACCAGGACTAAACCAGGACTAAACCAGGTCTAAACCAGGACTAAGTCAGTACTAAACAAGGTCTAAATCAGGTGTAAACCGGATCTAGACCAGGTCTAAACCAGGACTAAACCAGGACTAAACCGGGTCTAAACCAGGTCTAAACCAGGTCTAAACCGGGTCTAAACCAGGACTAAACCAGGTCTAAACCAGGTCTAAACCAGGACTAAACCAGGACTAAACCAGGTCTAAACCAGGACTAAACAGGTCTAAACCGGTCTAAACCAGGTCTAAACCAGGACTAAACCAGGTCTAAACCAGGACTAAACCAGGTCTAAACCAGGTCTAAACCAGGAAACCAGGACTAAACCAGGTCTAAACCTGGACTAAACTAGGTCTAAACTAGATCTAAACCAGGTCTAAACCAGAACCAAACCAGGACTAAGTCAGTAATAAACCAGGTCTAAACCAGGTGTAAACCGGATCTAGACCAGGTCTAAACCAGGACTAAACCAGGACTCAACCAGGACTAAACCAGGTCTAAACCAGGACTAAGTCAGTACTAAACAAGGTCTAAATCAGGTGTAAACCGGATCTAGACCAGGTCTAAACCAGGACTAAACCAGGTCTAAACCAGGACTAAGCCAGGTCTAAACCAGGTCTAAACCAGGACTAAACCAGGTCTAAACCAGGTCTAAACCAGGTCTAATCCAGGACTAAACCAGGACTAAACCAGGTCTAAACCAGGTCTAAACCAGGTCTAAACCAGGTCTAAACCAGGTCCAGGTCTAAACCAGGACTAAGCCAGTCTAAACCAGGTCTAAACCAGGACTAAACCAGGACTAAACCAGGTCTAAACCAGGTCTAAACCAGGTCTAAACCAGGACTAAACCAGGTCTAAACCAGGTCTAAACCAGGTCTAAACCAGGTCTAACCCTCAGTTCTGTTCACACATTAAATTCTTCGTTAAATCTTTTTCCTTCTTTGACCTGGAGTCGCGTTTCCGGTCACTCGGAAACTCGCTCTGTTCACTTTTTTGTTTCTGTGTTTTCCCGTCGCCTCCGGGCCCGAGATTCGCTGCACCAAAAATAATTCACGCGTTTGTTTATTTAAGGCGTAAAATAATAATAAAAAAAAAAAAACCTTCGTACCTGAGAAGCTCCTCCCCGCGGCCGAACCACGCACGAACCCTTTTAAGGCTATAACGCGACGCAACGTTACGTATTTACGAACATTTACGAACTTTTACGAACAATTACGAACATTTACGCGCTGATTTACTTTGTTCACACGCGACGTACGCTCGTTTGAGTTTCGTTTGTCTAAATAGTTTAAATCCCTCGCTGTGACATGTTTACGCACCTTGACGCACAGGTATGTCGGGGTCACGTCTTACCTGGCGCCCCGCAGTCCGCGCACAAGTTGTTGCCCGGTTTCAGGAGGATTTCTTTGAGCACTCGCGTGGATCTGGAGTCCGTGGACATGGTGCGGCGCTGGCGTGCTGGCGTGCGGGGGCTTCGGTGCGTTCGGCGTGTAAAAAGGCGCAGGTAGAGCGGGCGAAAGGCGCG